TTGTTCAGACATGATAAGCCTTCCGATGATCTGGCGGCCAAAGAACAATTTCTATATAGGAAACATTTTGAACAAGGCCTTGATTTTGCATTTTATTGTAATAGACTACCAACTCGGTTTAATATTGTAAACTGTACTTAATGTACTAAGTACATCAATAAAGTAAAGTACACATAACTTAAGTGTATTGCGTAAGAAAACCTACCGAAAGCTAAATTAAAATATATAATGTACGGTAAACATATTTATACACAATATATCATGGTTGGTATACAATAAGTTAGCAGCAATGCAATGCACTACATGCTCTGTGTAATTTTTACCATGCTCACTCCTGGACATGTAATGAATTTTGATACGTCTTTAATGTGCAGTTCGTTGCATAACCTTACTTACTGCATAATGGAATGATATAAACCGTAATATATCGTGTATTAATAAAGGACATGTTTCAATGTGTATCGTGTCTTGTGCAGTTTACGAAAAATATTCAGGCCTGAAAGCCGCGCTTCGCACTCATAGGCACAAAGCCAACCACAAGGGTACGATCGTGCTCAGCCCTGCAAAAGTGCTTCATGCCAATTTTATTCTGCTCTTGATTTCACGTGGTCGTTGTAAAGATGAGCTGTATTCCCAGGGTGACGTACTTCTACAGCTCTAAAAACTAAGCCCATTTACTTCAGCAGGATGTGCAGCCTCATGTGTTGAACATGACGTGCGCGCTTTTCCGGTTCATTTACAGACCCATGCTCATACTGGCATCGTTCAGTTCTAGGACCTCGGTTTTTTAAAGCATTTTTTATAAATAAGGACTCTGAGATAAACAGAATATCGTCCGCAAACCGAAAGTGGCGTAAATAATGCCTATTTATCACCAGCCCCCTAGATTTCGGAGTCTTGAAAATTTCTTATAGGCTGTTGTGAATAACTCTACGATATGGCGCTTCCATATAAGGCGCTTTTTTCGATTCTGAACTAGTCTGTGCTTTCGTGAAGCTTTACAGTAGCTGTTGCGTTCTTGTAAAGTCCTCGTCATGACGAGTTCAGGACAATCCGTTTCTTTCCTCGATCTGTTGACTCGTCAGAATTAGAGGATTCAAGATATACTGACTCAAAAATTTGCATACATCATTATAATAGGAGACACAAAGGCCAGATGCAGCAGAGAGTGCAAAAAAATTATTTGTACATATGAAATACGAATGGCAACATGTGGCTGAATAAGAAGATCGGTAGAAGGTGGATGCGGATCGCGCCAAACGCATAAACTAGGAATAAAATTTACTAGACACTGTTTGTTAAGCGTCACTATGTGCAAAACATTTCCGTGGTGCCATCTCGTACTCAGCACTTGACTCGTCTTCGCGAAAATCAGATAGGAAGACGCGATGAATGGCAAATCGAATCGCGGACAACGACCGAAAGAATTCGAAGAGAAAATTCTAAAAGTGGTCATTTCCACTGAAACAGTGGAGTATGAACGAAAGCTCATATGAGGTCTAAGACAGACTCTGGCGATACGCAAACGCGGCCAAGGCAGAGAGACAAGCGAAAGCGACAGAATCTTACACAAGCTAGAGATCTATTTGACAGAGACACCTCTTCGAGAAATTTCGAAACGAGATTCTGATTAAGACAGCTGAAAATCGTAGAAATCCGAAATAGAGAAAAAATACGGAAGGGCATTGGCGCTCTACAGATCTACTGTCGCTAAACTGAAAAACAGCGCTCGTAAAACAATATCAAACACAGCTAGTAAGAAAACGAGCTGCAGATAGTTGTAGGCTGAAACTCCTTACCTGAAGGAAACTAAACATCCCACAACCGCAACGTTAGAAGGCAGCACTTCTTATCGCAGTGTGAGTGAAATCTGACCCAGCATATCAGCTGAATAAACGGAAGGCGCTTCAGCATGAGATGCAG